TGAGCATCATCCGCTCAACCGGCCACTGGTAACTATTGGACGCCAACTCCTCGATAATTTCTAGCGCCTTACGTGAACAATGTCCCAAAAGAGCGCCTCCGGCCGAAGCATCTACCAGTGCCTTCATGTTTCCACTCAACCCATTGTAGAAGTAGCATATTTGATAATCCTTGGAAAACCCGTGTTGAGGGCATCTCCAGAGGAGTTGCGTGAAATGCTCCCAAGCCTCATAAAATGGCTCTCCATCTTGCTGCTTGAACTGGGTGATCTCGGTTTGAAGCCTTAACATCTTGCTTGGCGGAAAAAAATTCAATAAGAATTGTCGGTGCATGTCATCCCATGAAGTGATCGTCCCAGCTCTCAACGACCTGTACCACATCTTTGCCTTATCTCTCAAAGAAAAAGAGAAAAGCCGAAGCTTGATTGCATCGTCCGGTACTCCAATGATCCTGATCGTCCCACAAATCTCCAAAAATTGCGCAAGATGCGCATTCGGGTTCTCGGTTTCACCTCCCCCAAACTGTTCTTGTTGCACCATTTGAATTAATTCGGGACTCAATTGAAACGTATTGCCCGCTACCCTCGGTCCATGGCCTCCACCAAAATATTGATTTGTCGGCGGTTGGAAAATTGATCGAATCGGGTTGCCTTGCACTGTTTGGGCCTGTTGCTCGGCCACTTGACATTGCAACTCCACCAATTGCTCTTCGAGTTGTCTTATAAGTTCCACTTGCTCGACCATTGTAATCTCGCAAGAAAGAAAGAAAAATAAGAAAAAAAAATTAGAAAAGAGAAAAAGAAAAATAAAATAAAATAAAAAAAATTAAAAAAAAAATAAAAATGTCTAAACTAATATCTATTCGTCTTCTTCTAATATTAATCAATTTAACAAACAATCCCCGGCAACGGCGCCAAAAACTTGTTCGCTAATTATTTTCGCTATCCGCAAGTGTACGGAGTAGCTATAGGTAGTGGCGAGCAAGGTCGTATTCCACAGAGATTGTAGTTAAATTAATTAAGTACTAAAATAATGACGATTAAATATTATCTAGACTAGTGAATTGAATGATGATTATAAACTAAGAATTAAACTAGAAACTAATTTATCTAAGAAAATAAAAATAAAATAAGATACAAACGATAGATTCTAGGCTAAGCGTTCCTCGGAATTAATTCATGAAACGTTTATATTCAAACAAACCTTATTTAATTTTACCAATCGTAGAGATAATCGCTAAATTGATTTCAAACCTTTCTCTCGAACAAGTCAAATCGTAGATATTAATTGTTATCTATCTCCTCTCGGTCTCAAGATGAACAACTAACTCCCATAAGTTCCTAGGATTTTCGTTCTCTCTCAAGGTCCTATCAACCTCTCGGTCTGTTTATTCTCTTACTTTATAAATCTCCCAATTCTAGCAATCAATTATCTCTTCTCGGTCTCAAATCAATTACAAATATGCATTCATAGTGGCCATCTACTCACACAATAATAATAAGTACAAGAAATTTATAAACGAAAGATTAACCGGAATGAAAGCAATAAAAACTAAATCATAGATTAATCCGAGTACTAACAAATCCTAGAATCTAATAGGTTTAGCTACTAAACATATTCTTAAAACTCAAAATAAATAAATCCATGAGTTCAATGAAGAAGAAAAAGAGAAAAGAAAGAAGAACTATTGTTGCCGTTAGTCCCCGAATCTTCAATCTTGACTTCCTCGAATCTCTCGTGTGTTTCGTGATTTCTCTAGGCCTCCAATGATGTCCAAAAGTCCTAAAAACGAGTTCCTTAGGTCTGTTATATACTGTAGGGCACTTCTGGGTCGAAAAAGGGAAGAAATCGCACAAGAATCCTATTCCCCGTTGATCAGGTCTGCGCGTCACACGAGTCGTGTCACAGGCCACACGAGTCGTGTGACTTTTCTCAACGTTTCGGCGAACTTCCAGACTCACACGACTGGTCACACGACCGGGTCACACGAGTCGTGTGAAATCACACGACCCGTGTCTCAACCCACACGACCCGTGTGAAAAAGCCGTAGCTGCGTTTCTTATTTTCTCAACCCACACGACCCGTGTCACTACCCACACGAGTCGTGTGACCTCTTCTGCACCTGTTTTCGCCGTTTTTCGTCCCGATTCCATTTCCAACGCTTTTCCGGGCATATTTCTTGCAAAACTAACGACAAAAACACCTCTATCATAGATTAATAAATCAAACAAAATGGTGCACAATCACACGATAACCAAGGCCTAATATGACAATATATCACTCATAATGCATGAAAATATGATGAATGTCATTGTGAGCTGGGTACTTTTGGCCAAAAGTGAGGACTATGGCGCATGAGCTCGTCCAAAAGTGTTTAAACTGTCAACATCATGGTTCACTAATCCATCGGCCTGTTGAGGAAATGATCCCAATGAGTTCACAATTTTCTTTCACACAGTGGAGAATTGACATAGTAGGTCCCTTACCTCAAACAGTTAGCCAAAGGAAATTCTTAGTAGTCGTGGTGGATTATTTCACTAAGTGGATTGAGGCGGAACCCTTGATAAGGATCGCTGAGGAAAAGGTTGTGAAGTTCCTATTCACCAATATTGGTTGCAAGTATGGTATCCCAAGTGTACTGGTATCCCACAATGGAGCTCAGTTTTAAGGGAAAATGATAGCGTCTTGGTGTGAAGGCAAGAAGGTCAGACAACATTTTGCATAGGTGGTTCATCCGATGTGTGTTATGTGGACAGAATCTTTGGCAATTTCAGAATCTCTACATATATACTTTGGTGGCTTTGGAAATCCCAGAATCTTTGGTAATCTCAGAATATATGGATGTCTGATCAAGCTGTGCTCAAGGCAGCTCAAGGAGACTGGTTGAAATGCAACGCCTGCAGGACTTTGAGAGAGGAGCAGTGAATGAGGTGTTGTCATCTAGGTCCATTTGGTTCAGTTATGACTATGCTTTCTGTTATCTCTGTTTTCTTTCTTGCTGTCTAGTTTTGAGTACTTGTGATGTTGCCTCTGTCTGTATTCTTGTTGGATTATGGTTGCAGCTATAGGTTTAAAGGTTGCAGTTTAAAGGGAAAATGATAGCGTCTTGGTATGAAGGCAAGAAGGTCAGACAACATTTTACATCGGTGGCTCATCCGATGTGTGTTCTGTGGACATAAGAGGTATTTTAGAAGCCAGAATAGAGCTCTCTACATATATACTTTGGTGGCTTTGAAAATCCCGGAATCTTTGGCAATTCCAAAATATATGGATGCCTGATCAAGCTGTGCTCAAGGCAGCTCAAGGAGACTGGTTGGAATTCAATACCTGCAGGACTTTGAGAGAGGAGCAGTGAAGGAGGTGTTGTCATCTAGGTCCATTTGGTTCAGTTATGACTCTGCTTTCTGTTATCTCTGTTTTCTTTCTTGATGTCTAGTTTTGTGTACTTGTGATGTTGCCTGTGTGTGTATTCTTGTTGGATTATGGTTGCAGCTATAGGTTTCAGATTCATTCTGCCTATAGCTCCATTGTTTGCTCTGTTATTTGGGGTTTAGTCGTATTTTATTTGAACATTGAGGCTATTTTGTCTCTTGGCATGTACTTGGGTCTCTGGGCTAGGGTTGGGATGTTTGTCCGGATATGGGTCGGGGCCGTTGGTTTTGGACTTAGTTAGGCGTTTGCTTGCAGTTTCTGAGTCCGATTTCGGGGCCGCCGTGGCTTGGTCCGATTGAATGGAGGTCCTTCGAGTTGCCGCTGTGAAGCTTGGAGTTGTTAGGCCGTTGTGGGGAGGGCTGTTTAGATGCTTTTAGTTGTGTTTTTAGTTTTTGTTGTAGTTCGTTTTCGTTTGTGTTTTTTTGCTTGTTCTCTCTCGTTGGGAGTGTGTTCCGTGTATTCTCCTGTTAGGAGCTTTTGGTTTATTCTTCCTTTGGGAGTTTTTTAGTTGTGTTTTGTGTTGTAGGTTGACTCTAGGCTGTCGTCTGGTTTTACGTGTAGTCCTCTCTACAAGAGTCAGCTGTTCAACTTATTCGGTTGTTGGCCGTATATTCGACTGAATAGCTAGTTTCTTGTCTCGATTTGTTATGAATATAAATATTTTCTATCGTTCCAGAATATATATATATATATATATATATATATATATATGGGGCGGATCAAATGCGCCCAGGTCTTAAAATGCGTTCAGCTCTTAGCAGACAACTAACCTAGCAACTACAGAGAACTAACCTTGCAACTACAGATAACTAACCTAGCTAATACTAACCTAGCAACTACATAAAACTAACCTAGCAACTACTAACTTAGCAACTAGCAACTACAGAGAACTAACCTAGCAATTACTAACTTAGCAACTACAGAGAACTAACTTAGCAACTATAGCGAACTAACCTAGCAACTACAGAGAACTAACCTAGCAACTAGTAACCTAGCAATTACAGAAAACTAACCTAGCAATTACAAAGAACTAACTTAGCAACTACAGAGACCTAACCTAGCAACTACAGAGAACTAACCTAACAACTACAGAGAACTATCTTAGCAACCACATACAACTAACCTAACAACTACAGAGAACTAACCTAGCAACTACAGAGAACTAATCTAGCAACTACATACAACTAATCTAGCAACTACAGAGAACTAACCTAACAACTACAGAGAACTAACCTAGTTGGAAGGTTAGTTGCCAACGGTCAACGCCGGAAGTCAACGATTTTCGCTGGAAGTCAACGCCGGAAGTTAACGGTCAACTCTGGAAGTCAACGGTCAACATCAGAGTCAACAGGTCAAAATAATATTTAAATAATTAAAATAATAAAAAAAAAAGAGTAAATCTTGGCTACACATGATGTACCAAATCTTGTGGCTAGGAATGGATTTCATGTCCACCCTTTAAATAAGTAGATGCATTGGAACTAATCCCTATATATATATTTGTTTGAAATTTCATAAAAAGTCCGGGTTTTCAAGCAATTGGGGCCTTTATACAAAAAATTCTACACATATTTTATCGTTTAAAAAAAATAAAAAAATTAGTCTACTTGTTTCTTTGTCTGCATTACTACAAGTGCTCACAACGGCGATGGACAGTAGCGGCGGAGCCACCATAGGAAACTGGACGGAGATGGTAGAAGACCTTGTGCAAAGCGGAGAAATCGACCGAGCTGTATCTTTTCTCGAATCCGTAATCTCCAATCTCGAAAATGAATTGGAAAAAGAACAGCTTCAAAATAAAAATGGTGAAAAATTCGGGTCTTGCACAGCTGATCGGTTGTGCACTGCTCTTCAAGACCTTTCGAGGCTTTATGCAGCTCAAGGTTTACCTCTAAGAGCCGATCAGACACAATCGCGTGCGCTCCAAATCAAACACAGAAAACTGTGAGCTAATTTTTCTTTCTTTCCGTTTTCTTTCCCCTTTTTGATGGCCTTGATTTCAAAAATATTGTTTTTATACCCTAAATCAATATTATTTCATCTTATTCACTTATAAGATAGTTGAGTATCCCAGAATTGTTTCCCTTTTATCTGATTCTGTTGTTCTTGGAGTTTCTTGATTATTTTCTGGGAATTTTATTCATTTATTTATTTCCTTTCATTAGAAGACATTTGATAATCCTGTGAAAATAAATTGTATAATGTGTTTAGTAGTTAAGTTCTTACAAATTAAATGCCATGGATGTTTGATTCTTTTAATGGTTGTATGGTATCTGGGGAAATGAGACAGGCTAAGAGATGAACTTTCTATTTTCCTGGGTGAATCTCACCCTACCCATGTGAAAATTTCCCACATGAGGTTTTTAACCGTTTGATAATAAACATCCACACCGGTGTGTGTGATCCGACCAATAAAAACCCAGTGTCCGCAGTAGGGTCAAACTTACCACTGCTACTGATGTTTTGGTTTTCCAATGATTGATCCTTGCTATTCAGGGAGTTGGGTGCAAGAAAGGGTTCTTCATCCAACGAGAATGCTGAAGATCGGATTTCACAAGATGGTGCTACTACTTTGGACGGAATTGCTGAAGATGGTTGGTATCTTTTAATTTAATCTCTTGCTCTTCTTCTAGTTTCATTTTCTTGTTCTGTAATGTATTCATTTGGTCATTGTTTGGTGGGGTGTTTATTGGTTTTCTTTTATTTTGTCAACTGGGGTCAGTAGTGGTATCTCTTATTTGTTTAGCAATTTGATATTTATCTAGAAGTAATTTGTTACTTAATCTTGTTTTATGAAGGATTGAGCGAGAGTTCTTCAAATCTTCACTCTGATGGCATCCAACATGACAGCGGCGGAGATGATGGTATGTATTTATATTCAATTTTACTTTGTTTACCTGATATTTATATTTGAAAAATAGATTGATTTTATTCTTCCTTTTGTGGTTGATGGACTTTAGGAATGCATAAGATAAATATTTTGAAATTTTAGGAAATGGGAGTATCAGTTGCACATATTAGCTGTTCAAAACTTCACAAATATCCCAGTTGCAATTCATGTGTATTTTATTTTCTGATGTTTGTGCTGATTGAAATAGTAATGTGTCAATACTCAACAGTTACAGTTGAGTTGTTTCTATCAAGTGCAGGACTCTGTTTATTTGGTAGTTAAAATGTCAAACACAGAGCATGTGATATGTTAGGTTAATCTCTTTACCTCTTTATTGACTGGAAATAAGGTATCTTGGGCCCTCATTGAGTAAGTTATAGAGATCTGTAATCGCGATATGGACACTGAGGGACAGATATACGTTACTAGGATGCAGTTCGACTGAAAATCGTTCAAGCTGTAGTCCTCTTGTAATCTGACCAAGCACCAAAACAATTTGAGTACTGTAGGAAATTGGAATTGATCTTTTTCTATATTTTGTATGCTTAATTCTTTTACACCTGTAGTTAGTCTACAGAAACTTTGTATTTTTCGAATTGTTTTTAGTATTTTTTGTATGAAAAAATTGCTTAAATGTTCTTCGTGGTGCCAACTCTTAACATGAACCTGAATACAAGAAGATAGATTTCTTCTGATAGCCATTGGTGAATAAATGAACACAAAATTTTATACTTTACCCTCTGGTCTATCAGTATATCATTGCTTTTTTACCATGAAAAATATCACTTCAAATTCTACATCAACACTCCCAAAAAAAGTTGATTTGTTAAATGTTTCGATTAAAATTTAATTGGCTTCTCTAGTGGAAAGCTTGTTTCTAGTTATCTAGCTTCTTCCAACTGTTTGTATGCAATTCCTGAGACTAACTTGTGATTGTAGATCCCTTCGTTTCCTCCCCATGAATATGTAATTACTCCTGAAAATATATAAAAAGTTGGAATTGGAGCTAAGCTTTGATTTACAGACTGGGAAGCTATTGCGGATCGTGCTCCAGAGGAGTTACTTTCTCCTCAGTGTTTGCCTGGTATATCCAAACTCTCTCTCGAGGAATCAAAATCTCAACAAACTAAAAGACGAGGACGGGGAACATTTGCATACAAGAAGCAGGGCCTATACAGTGATAACCCGTCTGATGAGCCCATTATTGATGATGACTCTGAAGATAATTCTGTGGGTCATGCGGAAGATGCAGAAAAAAGAAACTGTACGTCATTAAAAGCATTTTTTTTTTTTTTTTTTTT